GGAAAACTCACAAAGTTCCGGACGATTTATGAAGCTACCAGAAACAAAGGAAGAGGTGATCGAGTCTACGTTTAATGTGCTAACATAGAATTAGTAGATGGACAAATCAGCCTCCCACATTTCTTAATAATGTTTGAAAGAATTCATATGAGGACCAAAGATCCTATTTGTGTCTAGCAAAGGAAAGTAACGAATCCAACTGAGGCAAAAGCATATGGATTTTTCTATATAGCTCAATATCTTGATCAATTTCGAACAATCAAAGAAGAACCACTGGTAATCATTCATGTTGGGAATACAACTATAGTAGCACTAGAATGGTTAAAAAATCATTTAGAAGAAGGAATATTACATGGTGAATCAGTACATGATTATCTTGAAAAAGTTGAAGCTGGAAAGTTTCTATCTTCAGAAGGGAAAGAACATTTGTTTGTAATCTTTGTCACATGGGATGAGTCATATGCTGCCAAATGTGTTCAAGAATTTTGCATAGGAAAGGATAACCCCATGTATGTTCACTATGAAGACATCAAAGATAGTAAAGGTGGCCTACAAGAGATAATGATGGATGAATGGTGGAAGACTGAGCCCCACAATAGCAATCATGCATACTCCTTTTACAGTAGCCATATTTTAAATAATAGTGTTCTGTATTTCTTTTCAAAAGTGTCTTTGTAAAAGGAATGGACTACATCCATTTGCTGAGTCAGGAGCATTGTAAACCATAGAAAGAGTCAGTAGGGTGTGTGAATCCTTTGCTATATAAAGAATTGTAGGCAAATAATGAAGACAAGCTTAAAGAGAGTTTCATAGAGTCTAGCTTTCTGAAATCATAGAGAGTCCTCTAGAGAAAATCCTCACCTTAATACATCTCTCTTAAAGTAGAGGAAAAAATTTAGTTCTTGTCATGTTTGTTTAAACTTTCAATTTAAGAGTGTTGTAATATATGAGTGTTGTAATCTTTTCAAATTAAATAAAAGTTTCTTTTAGAAAGGAACGTTATCCTCTTGAACGTCATATCTCAAAAAGTTCCATCATAAACACAATAGATATTGTTTGATTAGAGACTATGGTCTAAGATAGGAAATGAATTAATATGTGATGTGCCTGATCTAAGGAAGACAGGGTTGGGGTTAGCTACCTTGATAAAGCCGAAAGCTCAGAACGCTGAAGGTTCCATTGTCGACTAAGTTCGGGTATTGATCAAAACTCTCTATTTAAACATTTGATATTGCGAAGCATGTGGACTATTAAACATAAATATTAATTTATTTTGATATATGATTAGTAGAGTAGTGATAGGTAGTACCGTTAATAGTCATTAATCTAAAAAGCAAGTTAGCATTAGTTGATATTTATATATATCATTGGAACTAGTATTATAAAAAAAGTTCGTTGGTATCGAAAGGAATATCAATAAAGGGTTTGTAGTATCAAAAAGAATACCAACAAGGAGTTCGTTGGTATACCAATGACATTGAAAATAATACTAACCTAGAGCTGCTAATATTGTCGGTTGCTAGAGTCATTGAAGACTCGCATTACTAGAGATTGAAAACTCTTTTTCTGTCACTCTCACTCCATCCAACTAAATTCCTTAATACGCGTGCTTAAGGCTAACACGATGATTTCTCTTTTAGCCCATGTGAATTGGACTTCTCCACTAACTCTCTTTCTCCTCACTCTCTCACCCCCGCCCTACAAAATTCCTTAATATGCATGACCAAGTCTAACAAGGAGGAGTATAAATTATGCACATATATCCAACACTTATTCTAAACCCATTTTCTTTCAAAAAATTTACATCTTCAATCTTATTCCTCGAGAACTCCAGCCAGATACTTTCATAAGATTCATTGACAAAGTATATACACGATTTGAGGTTAAATAAATACCACTTGAAAGAATACCTCTACTTCTAATCTCAAAGACAATCTGGATATAAAATTTGTTTGATTATTATTGCTTCCACTTCACGTATTTTATCCTCTGAAAGTCTAAATATAACTCAGTTGTTTATCTAATTACTAACATTTCTTGTTTCTTTTTCATTGTTTTGGACTTATTGCACCGCACTCTTCCAAGAGCACATCATATAAAGAAAGGAATAGTACACAAATCGAAACTAGCAGACATAAAAGTTGCAACGGATAAAGGTACCTACAAATTTAGCTTATTCTCACCTATGAAACCTCAATTGGGAGCAAAACTAAGGCTCTATATACAGCTACTTGTATACTTGATAAAAAAAATAATAAGAAACTATTAGAAACCGTTGTAAAATAGAATAAAAATATAAACAAGTCATCCCATAATACCAATATAATTTATTATAAGGTTGGTTACACACCTAAAGGAACTAAGGAAGCATTGGAAACAGAGAAGTGTACAAGAGCCACAGACTTAACAGCAAAGGACTCTGCAGTAAGGATTTCTAAGATTTACAGCTTTGCAAACTCAACATATTGACACTGTCACAGAGGATGCTGTTAGAAACTCTAATGTAACCATTCATTCTTGGTATTACAGTATTACTATCTTGTATGCAGACGTAAGACTGCCTCCTTTACATAAGTTAATAATTACAGCACTAGCTCAGCTCATAAGCAGATTTATTGATAGCTAATCAAATCATTATCTTGCCTGCCAACCCGGTTGAGGGCTCGAGGCCCAAGGGCAACTGCTACCATAGAACTTGCCTTACCCTAGCAAATTGTAAAATCATGTAGAAGTTTGTTACTGCAAATAACTTATGGTCTTATCAACATACTAAGAGCAACAAATAAAGAAAAGAATATTTGCGACCAGCGCGCGGAAAGCAGAAGGATATGCTATATGGTGGGCAGTCAAAGAGAATAGCACCACGTACAGAAACATCGTAGTTAAAACTGATTGTGAGGAGGTGATCAAAGTCTTACACGCTCCAGATTCAGCCTCGATGGATTCACAGAATATTGCTACGGATATTCTTCATATGATCAAGGATTTAGACCTTTTTGAGTTAAAAAGAATAGTACAGAATTTTTGGGGGTTTTTAATTTTCTGTATTGTGTATACAATCAACTGATTTACAGGTAAATTAATACACTAACACTTGCCATATTAGCTCCTAAAATCACTCCTGGAAATATGGACTGATTTGATACAATAATCTAAACATAGCAAGTGAATAAACATAATTACAGACAAGATTTTCTACACAATATTCTAACACTCCCCCTCAAGTTGGGTCGTAGGATCTCCGACACCCAGCTTGGACAATGCTTCTTCAAAAGCTTGAGACGAGACTGCTTTAGTCAAGATATCTAGGGGTGTACACCGGTCCAAAACCGGACCGGATCTGGACCGGACCTGTTTGGACAGGGGACCTGAATTAGGGAATTTTGAGGACTGGAGACCGGACCTGAATCAACAGGTTCGGTTCCGGGTCAGACCTGAAAATTCAGGTCCGGTCTGGGTTTAGACCTGAACAGACCTGAATTTGTATTTTCCGTTTTTTTTTCTTTATTCAAGCCAAAGTTTTGACTAAAAACTATCATCAACAACCTCCTACGCACAGCCCACCACCACTAATACGTACACCCCTACGCACAGCCCACCACCACTAATACGTACACCCCTACGCAAAGCCCACCACCACAAGCTTCTTTCCTTCTACCACCCACCCCAACTCACCCCTTAACCACCTTAACCCCCTTAACCCAGACACCATAACCCCAACAACCCAGACCCATTGATACCCACCCAGAACCCAGAAAAAACGAAAAAATTGAAAAAAAACCCACCATCGTTAGGCGTCCACCGCACCCACAACCCAGAAAAACAAAAAAAAAAAAACAAAAAAACCCAGATCGATTCCACACATACATCCAACATCCGAATAAAAAACAAAAAAAACGAACAAAAAAAAACAAATTATACACAAATTGTCAGAAAATCCGAGAAAAAAAAAAAAACAGAAATTTCGAAAAAATAGATCTACAAACTTAAATTACAAAATTTATAATTTTACATTACAATTTCATTAAGAAAGATAATTATAATCGTAAATTATGTGAAAAATAAAACTAGATCTACATACTAATCTATATTAAACTAAAACTAAAGTACAAACAAACTCTGGTGACGGCAGATGGTGGACGACGGTGGACGATGGTGCCTTGACGATGGACGACGGGGCCTCGATGTTGGACGACGGTGCTCCAATCCCACGATGCTGGAGCCTGGAAGAGAGAGAAGAGGAGAGGAAGAGATAGGACTAGAGGAGTTGAGGACTAAGGAAGTGAGGAGAGGCGAGGAGCCGTTGAGAATCAGAAAGAAAGGGTGAGATTGAGAATCAGAGAGGACGAAGGGAGATTGAGAATTAGAGAGGAAGAGGGGATACTGAGAATCAGAAAGGAGAAGAGAAAAGGTAAGAGGAGAAGAGGCGCTGAATAGATGAAGTATTAGGTTTTTTAGGCTTTTATATATATTTTTTATATATATATATAAAAAATCCGGGTTTCAGGTCCGGACCTGAAAACCCCAATTTTGGACCTGATCCGGACCGGAACCGGAAACCTTGAATTTCAAGGACCGGGACTGGACCTGAATCTACAGGTTAGGATTAGGTCCGGTCCCAATAGGTCTGGTTCAGGTCGGTTTTCAGGTCCGGTCCTGTTTATGTACACCCCTAAAGATATCTGCTAGTTGATCTTCTAATCTAACAAACGGAAGACTTATCACCTTTGCCTCTAAGTGATCCTTGATAAAGTGTATGTCGATCTCCACATGTTTAGTGCGATCATGCTGAACAGGATTTTCTGAGATACGAATTGCTGCCTTATTATCGCAATACAATTTGCAACTTTTCTTAGGTGACATTCCAAGTTCAGAAAAAAGTTTTCGGTGCCACAGAACTTCAGTAATTCGTTTTGCTATTCCTCTGAATTCAGCCTCTGCACTAGACATCGAAACTTTCTTTTGCCTTTTACTTTTCCAGGAGACCAGATTTCCACCAACTAGAGTGAAATACCCGGAAGTGGATTTTCTGCTATCACGATCTCCTCCCCAGTCAGCGTTAGTAAAAGCATGGAGATCCAAATGACCATGACTTTCATATAAAACCCCTCTTCCAGGTGTTTCTTCAGATATCTCAAAATTCGGTATACTACTTCAAGATGCTGCTTTTGAGGTTTATGCATAAACCTTCTAACCACTCCTACTACATAAGCTAGATCAGGCTGAGTATGAGACAAATATATTAGTTTTCCAACAAGTCTCTGGTACCGAGTCTGATTTACTAATTCAGATCCTTCAATAATTTGGAGCCCATGGTACATGATCATAGGAGTGTCAGCTGGCTTACAATTTATCATACCTGTCTCTGTCAAGAAATCAAGGATATACTTCCTTTGAGAAATAAAGATACCTCCTTTTGATCTGAGTACCTCTATTCCTAGGAAATATTTTAGGTTCCCAAGATCCTTCATTTCAAACTCTTGAAAAAGTTTTCCTTTCAACTGTTCTATTTCTTCTATGTCATCTCCGGTGATAATCATGTCGTCGACATAGATGATGAGACAGGTAGTCAGTTCTCCTTTTCTTTTGAAGAACAAGGTGTGGTCGTAATTGCTCTGTTTGTACTCGAATTTCTTCATTGCTGAAGTGAACCTTCCAAACCACGCCTTGGTGACTGTTTCAGCCCATATAATGCCTTCTTTAATCTGCATCCTTCTCCAACACTAAAGCCTTGAGAGAAACCTGGTGGGGCTTCCATGTAAACTTCCTCAGAGAGATCACCATGCAAGAAGGCATTTTTGACATCGAACTGGTGTAAAGGCCAATCTTTATTTGCAGCTATTGAGAAGAGTACTCTGATTGTGTTAAAATTTGCCACGGGTGAAAAAGTTTCGCCATAGTCTATCCCGTATGTCTGAGTGTACCCTTTAGCCACAAGTCTTGCTTTGTACCTTTCAATAATTTCATCAGCCTTGTACTTTATGGTGAACACCCATCTGCATCCCACTGGTCTTTTTCCGCTAGGTAGGACGCACTTTTCCTATGTGTTGTTTCTGACTAGTGCGTTAATCTCGTCCTCCATGGCTTTCTTCCAGTTCTCGCTTTTGAGAGCTTCTTCTGTAGTAGTGGGAATGGTCTCATAATAGATTGCTGCATTATAGGCCTTGGCCCCTTGAGACAAGTTTCCTTCACCTGGTTTTCCGACTGGGTATTTTGACCTCTGAGCCTCAAAGTCTGGGTTATACCGCTTTGGGGGAATACCTCTTGTGCTTCTAGGGGGCAACACATAATTTTCAGGACAACTTACTTGTTCCGATTCAACATCTTCATTTCCACTTTCAGAGCTTTCAGGAGTCTTAGACAGAATATTCTGTTTTATTGATTCATCTTCAAAAGAAAGATTAGTAGACTCAGTATTATGAGATGAGTCAGGATTACAAACCTTATTACTCGGTGGATCCTCGGACAAGGTTGTGTGATCATTAGTAATGGTGCCGATTTGATCAAACTGTATTATGTTGTCAGTCGTCTCGGCAGTTGTGTCTACTTGCTCTTTTGGATCAATACCAATCTCAGGATAGGTTAACCAACTTAGATCGTCTCCTGAACTCTCCCCCTGAGATCTAAGGTGGTGATAAAAGTATTCGGTTTCAACGAAGTCACAATCCATGGTTGTATACATTTGGTTTGTGGCTGGGTCAAAACAACGATACCCTTTTTTATAAACCCCATATCCTACAAAAACGCACTTAACAGCTCGGGGGGCTAACTTGTTTCGGCTACGTTTAGGAAGATGAACATAGACAACGCAGCCAAAGACTCGGGGAGCTAAAGAGTGAACGGAGGGAATACCAGTATGGATTTTAAGGGTGTCTAAAGGGGTAGCGAAGTTAAGGCTTTTTGTAGGGAGACGATTGGTAAGGTAATTAGCAGTGGCTATAGCTTCAGGCTAAAAATGAGAGGGTACTCGGGATTCATTTATCATAGCTCTGGTCATTTCTAAAAGTGTCCGATTTTTCCTTTCAGCCACACCATTTTGTTGTGGTGTGTCGGGACAGGTGGTTTGATGAATAAGGCCATTTGCGTTTATGAAAGTTTCTAGGTCAAGGTTTATGTATTCCCCGCCATTATCAGATCTCAAAACTCGGATTTGTGTTTGGAATTGTGTTTGGGCCATTTTGTAGAAAGAGACAAAAGTATCATAAACCTCAGATTTATTTTTTAAGAAATATATCCAACTCATCCTAGTACAGTCATCAATAAAATGTAACATAATACTGAAAATCATGATTATCAAATTCTAGGGCAGGTCCCCAAACATCAGAGTGAATTAAAACAAACGGTTTTTCAGTTCGAGTACTACTACTAGGATAATAATGTTTATGACCCTTAGCTAACATACAAGCCTCACAATAGAAATCTAATTTTGCACTAGCAAGAGAAGGGAATAGTTTCTTTAAGTACCCTAGAGACGAATGACCTAGGCGGCGGTTCCACGTCTAGAGTTGGTGTTCAACCGATCCGTGAACAAGCGCTGCACAACCATTTTGAGACATCCGATCAACATAATACAGTCCGTTCTCCTCAGTACCACGCCCAATGATCTTCCTAGTTCGAGAATCCTGGTTTTTGAGAGAAGAACGTTGCTGCTCCTCTTTCTTCTTCGGGTTTGCTGGCCGGCGTTTTAACGAACATTGCTTCCCCCTTTTTCCTGCTCCCGTCTACCGGTGCTTCACCGTTGGTGAGCCTTGTTGTGGTCGAAGCGGCGGCCGCTGCTCCCCCTTCTTCTCTGGGTTCGTCGTCCGGTGTTTTACCGGCGGCCGTTGCTCACACTAGTAGAAAAATTGAAAAAGGTACCCCCCTTTTCGCACCGGTTCTTAAAAACCGGTGGGAAAGGTTTTGGGCGGGATTCAAATATTTACTTTTAGCACCGGTTCCTTATAAACCGGTGCCAAATGTTGGTTTTCAAACCAGTTCGAACCGGTGCTAAATGTGTTTTTAAAAAAGAAAAAATTAAAAAAGGGAAAAGGGATTTGCCACCGGTTCAACCCAAACCGGTGGGAAAAGTGTATTTCCAAACGGTTCGAACCGGTGCCCAAATTAAAAAAAAAAAACCCGCCTTAATTCGTGAAATACTCTTCTTCTTCCTTCAGTTATTTCATTCCCCTGCTTTCCCCTTCAATTAATCTTCCTTCTCTCGTTCTCGCCTACCCTAACCATTGCTCTCCTTCACGCATACGTCCGAATTTTCACCATAGTTGTCCTCCATTGAAGCGTATTCTGGGCTTTCTCACCTCCATTGTCGCGCAACTCCTCTCTTTCTTTCCATATACAGCTCTCCTCCATTGAAGCGCATTCTGTCGAGCTTTCTGACCTCCATTGAAGCGCATTCCGAGCTTTCCAACTCCATTGTAGCAGCTTTGAGGTAGGTAAATTTCGTGGTCTTCCTAATTTTATCTATTGCATAGCTTCGTAATCTAGGGTTAGTCGTTGATTTAGGGTATTCTGTTTGAGTGTTGTAAGTTTTGTAAGTTGTACTACACAGCCTTATTCATGCAGTAACAAAGAAGCTGTCAATTTTCATTTTCGTAAAATAATCTTCTCTACTATGTTACCCTTCCTCTCTCATTACTTTTCTTCTAATTTTAAGGTTTGATCAAGAAAAAGAATCTCTGCCTAATTACTAAGGGTTACTTTTCTTCTAATTTTCTTTGTGGTTTGCTTTGAGATTTTGGGTGGATTATGTTGTAACAATTGGGTTGGGTTGAGGTCAAACCCTCTATTACTGTTAGTTATACTTCCTCTTTCAGGATTCATGATTGAAGTGGGTATTTCCTGACCTTTACCATTGTTTCATAAATTACAAACATTGACTTCCTCAACTTATTAGCTAGTACATGATGTTAGATAACAGTTGGTAAATTTTGCTCTGACAATAGATGAATGATAAATCTCTCCTGAATTGCCATTGAATGTTATAGGAGGATTTCTGACATAATTCATGCCCTCTTCTACTGACTTCTGTTTTGTATGTGTCATGGAAATAACTGACTTTGCTGCAATGGTTGTTGGGAAATTGCTAATTAACTACATTTGATCTCTTTTATATAATTAACAAGAATTTTGGACTACATATGTGATTTAGTAGCAGTATTCTGTTTATAGATGGAGGACAAACTAATGTAAGTGTTGTTGTTATTGCTATGAAGCATTGGAATTGTGGGGATGATATATCATACGAAGATATTGTTTCGGGCTTGAAATTGAGCATAATGGAGGGTCTGCTTATAATTCCTATGTATTAATAATTGTTCTGCATTTTTTTGAAGAGATGCTCATTTGAATTGCCCACTTATTAAATTTAGTTTAAAAGAGATAGCTTTTACGCTATTCGTCTTCCCATATTATCCTTTTTCAAAAAGTAGTTCATTTGAAGTGTATTTTAACAAATTAAATTGCTCTGAATCTACTTACCTACCATTCATTGGTGTGTTACACTCCTTGTTCAGTTTCCTAAACTAGGATGTTTTTAGAATTGTTTCTGACTATACTAATAGATTACCATTTCATTAATGTCTGCAGTTATCAAGCTTAAAGATTCGGGCACGAAGACCCCATTCATTGCTGAAGCTTGTATCTTGCGGAAAGTGTCTCTCTTTCAGGTCGCCAAGGTAAATGACTGTAACGGCTATTGAGGCTTCTCTGTGCATCTGTAATTGTCTTTTTAAAATTCCTCTGTCATCTAGTTGCGTATAAAAATTATTACTTTTATAAAAAAATGACATTTCAATGGGGTGAGATCCCACCAATTTTACTCGAACTCTTTGTGATTTCATTTCTTTCTCTGTATGTTTATCATTCTAAAATACCTGATATAGTAATGCTCTTTTGTACACAATAGGTTCCCAGATAAGAATGTTGGTCAGTTTCCAATGGCATGTGTAGTGAGGAAAGCTGGTAGTAACTTATCAGAGCATGAAAGCATGGATTTTGTAGCAAAACAGGTGAGCTGAAAGGCCAGAGAGCATGAAACAGTTGTTAGGTGTTTTTAAACTTACCCACACTTATGAACTTATTATCTAAGTTATTAACCCTTATTTGAACTAATTAAAACTTATTATTCCTTCTTTCACACTTATTAACTCTTACAGAAAATCAATATTTGAACTTGGTTAGCGCTTATATCTAATTTTTACTTATCTTGGATGGGAAACATAGAGTAGAGTACAAGTTGGGATGTATAAGGAGACACGCAAAGGTCAAGCTGTGTTTCCATTTTGTTAATTCAAAGTTGTATGAAATAATTTAACTTTTCGTGGTGTAGGTCGCTCCTTACAAAACTTACACATAACAGTAGATTTAAACTAATAAATTAGTGAAATTTCATTATTTACTCAAAAATTTAAAAAAATTAGTGATTAGCAATTGTTAGTTTGATTAATGATGTGTTATTCTTTAGCAATGTATGTAGGTATTATTTACTTACTAACTTTTGTTTTTTCTTTTTAATTTTTTTTATAGATTCATATGTGAATTGAAGCACAAGTTTAGCTTGAAGACTACAAATTTAGCTCAATTGTGGTATGAATTATAAACTTAGTCTATGTTTCTTTTTCTTGATTCATGATGAAAGTTTTCTCATGCTATTACAACTTGTGTATTGTTTAATGACAAATTAATACAACAATATATAAATGCTTGCATCATCATATGCCTAGATACCCGTTCAAGGCTTTCTCATTAGGAGAAAGTCTTAAATAGTCCCCGGTTGGGACTGTTCTTGAACGTTTACTCTCACTTAGGTGGTGAATGTATGTCTTCTTTTTTCGATTTTAAGGAACATCTTGGCTTAGCATTTCCTCGATCACCATGTTCTCTGGGTACATATGTGGGTAAGTTATTACCTACATCGTGTACTTGGAGAACTGGGGGGAAATGCTGCCGGATTTTCCTTAAAATTGGAAAGTCGACATACATTCACTAGTGAGAGTAAACGTTCAAGGATGGGTTAGGTTGGAGTGATAAGGACCCTTTGGAAGCATATATGCATTATTGTATCTATATGAATATTATATGCATGGTGTGTGTTTGAATTTGATTTACATATATAATAGATGTAGCAATTATACATTATTCGTAATATGTTGCCATGTTTAGAGGCAATTTACTTAATGGAGAAGGATCGTGGCTGGATGTATGGTAGACGTGATACATTGGAATTCTTTGATGAGGTTCAAGAGTTTTGTGAGAGGGCTTCATCTTATCAGCGTATAATGGGTTTCGATTGCCTCTATTGTCCTTGTGTTGATTGTAATAATGTGAAGGTGGTTAATAGTGTTGATATCATTAGAGATCATGTAGTTTGTCGCGGGTTTAGGCTTAAATACCATGTGTGGATTTGGCACGGTGAAGAAGGAGAGTACAATGGGGATGTTATTGGGAATAATGTGCATGATGATAGAAGCAATGATAATCGTGTGGACGAGGAATACAAGAATGATGAATTTGAGGTTGATAATGGTGATGAGGATGGATTTGATGATGATCAGGTGGATGAGGTGGAGGATGAAGGGGTGAATGAAATGATGCGTGGTGTTGAAGGTGACGTGTTTGAGTCGTTATCGGAGGCTTCTAAAAAGCCTTTGTATCTTGGGTGCAAAAAATACTCCAAACTATCTGCTGTGCTAACACTGTTTAACATTAAGTCGAAGCATGGGTGGACGGATAACAGTTTTACGTCTTTGTTGACCGTGTTAAGTGAGATGTTTCCTGACGGGAATGAAATTCCTAAGTCATACTATTATGCAAAGAAGCTCATGTGTCCATTTGGTTTGGAGTATAAGAAGATACATGCATGTCCTAATGATTGTATTCTTTATCGAAAATGAATATGAACAATTGAGGAGTGTCCACGATGCAAGAAGTTGCGCTACAAGCGCATGAGTTGCAATGCTGGTACGAAGGGACCTCCTGCGAAGGTGTTGTGGTATCTTCCCATCATTCCAAGGTTTAAGCGTCTTTTCTCAACACCAAAAGACACAAAAAATTTGAGGTGGCATGCAGAGGGAAGAAAGAAAAACAGAATGCAGAAGCATCCAGCCGACTCTCGCAATGGAAGAACATTGATATGAAATTTGGTGAATTTGGTGATGAAGTCAGAAATTTAAGGCTTGGGTTGTGCACGGACGGGATGAATCCATTTGGCACTCTTAGTACCCAACACAGCACATGGCCGGTACTTTTAGTGATCTACAATTTGCCTCCTTGGTTGTGCATGAAATGTAAGTATGTAATGCTTTCACTACTAATAACTGGGCCAAGGCAACCTGGAAATGATATAGATGTTTATCTTGCGCCACTTGTTGATGATTTGAGAAAGATGTGGGAAGAAGGGGTTTTTGTGTATGATGCTCATAAGAATGAGATGTTCACATTGCGTGCAGCTCTCATGTGGACCGTTAATGATTTTCCTGCATATGTCTGGGTACAAGAACAAAGGAAAAAAAAGCATGCCCCATTTGTATTGATGACACCCCAAGCATACACCTTGACAATTTTCACAAAGAGGTGTATGTGCGGACTCGAAGGTTGCTAAGGCGCAATCACCCATACCGTAGGCAGAAAAAGGCTTTCGATGGGAAAGCAGAAAAGGGGACTGCCCAGGCCATTGACTGGTGAGGAGGTTTATGCTTGAGTTAAGGGTATACGAACAATATTTGGGAAAACAGAAAAAGTTGCGGACGCAACTGCTCTCTTTAAAAAAGAATCAATCTTTTGGAAGCTTCCGTACTGGAAAGAACATGATATTAGGCACTGTCTTGATGTAATGCATATAGAGAAGAATGTGTGTGATGCTCTTGTGGGAACGCTGATGAATATTCAAGGCAAACAAAGGATGGAAAGGGTGCCCGGTTAGATTTGAAAAAGATGGGGGTTCGTCCAGAATTGTGGGCTCCAGAAAAGGTTAGAAAGGGAAATGAACAGGAAAAGAGAGATGAAACGAGTTCGAAACAAGGAAAGGGGAAGAGCAAGGGAAAAGGAAAGTCCACAGATGCGTTGAAGAAGAATTATGATGGAAAAGCAAAGGATGCCAAGGCTTATTTACCTCCGGCTTGCTACACATTGTCAAGGGTAGAAAAACGGATGTTTTGTGCATGTCTGTACGGCATTAAGGTTCCATCAGGGTATGGATCTAACATGAAAAGATTTGTATCCTTAAATGGAGAATTGAATCTGTTAAGTATGAAATCCCATGATTGTCATGTTCTTATGCAAGTATTCCTACCAATTGCAATACGTGGTATTTTACCGAAGCACGTGAGGGAAGCTATTACAAGCCTCTGTTCTTTTTTTAACACAATATGCAGCAAAGTGCTTGATCCTCATACACTTGATGCTTTGCAGGCGGATGTGGTTGTGACTTTGTGCAAATTTGAGATGTACTTCCCACCCTCATTTTTTGACATAATGGTGCATCTTATTCTTCATTTGGTGCGTGAAATTAAGTTGTGCGGTCCAGTGTTTATGAGGTGGTGCTATCCTTTTGAAAGACACATGGGCACATTGCTAAATAAGGTAAGGAATCGAGCTCACTCGGAAGGAAGTATGATTCAAGGGATCGTGGGTGAGGAGATTGGTAATTATGTGGCCGACTATATAGCTATTGCTGAACCTATTGGTTTTCCTTCTTCTCGACATGAAGGGAGACTTGATGGTCAGGGCACAATCGGGTCGAAACGAATGTCACCTGACCGAGATAAGTTCTTACAAGCACACCTATATATGTTGCACCATGTTGCAGATGTTCACCCATACTTAGATGAGCACATGGCTAGTTTGCGTGCTGAATTTCCATCGAAAGGTGAAAGGGAATTGATGCATTTGCATAATAAGAGGTTTGTGAGTTGGTTTCGTGATCGAGTGATGGGTAGAATCGATGAGAGTGTCAGTGATACAGTAAGGTGGCTTGCTTATGGTCCTAAGGATGATGTTCGCTCATTTGAGGGATATGACATAAATGGGTACAGTTTTTGGACTGAGCGTCAAGATTTGAAATCTTCCTCGACCCAAAACAGTGGTGTGACGCTTGTGGCATCGTCAAGGGAGTTTGCAAGTGCTAAGGATAAATCACCCGTTGATGTAGAGCTGTCATACTACGGTCGCATTCAAGAAATATGGGAGCTTGATTATTGTAGCTTCACGGTTGCTCTTTTCCGGTGTAAATGGGTTGATAATATCAGGCGTAACGTCAAATATGATGACTTTACTCTTGTAGATCTTAGCCACCTAAATGACAGTGCGGAACCATTCATCCTTGCATCTCAAGCTAAGCAAGTGTTTTACGTAACTGACCCAGCAGATATGAAATGGTCTATTGTGTTAGCCGGCAAAAGAAGAATCCTAGGCATTGGAGATGTCGAGGATGAGGAAGAATATGATGCGTTTGATGACTCGGCACCTTTCACTGTTCCTAGACCTGTTGTACCAAATTACATAGACGACCAAACCAATTATGTACGATTAGACCACAACGAAGGAATATTAGAATGAGGTACTATTTTTCAGCATTTTTGCAAATTTAGGCATTGAAAGTATTATCAAATGAAAAGTTAGGTGAAAATGAATTAATTATCTGTCATAAGTATTATTAAATGACAGGTTAGGTGAAAATGAATTAAAGTGTTAATTTACTTGCCCATTTTTCACATTTTCTTTTAATTAAATGAAGTAATTTTTAAAACATTTGAAATATGGAATAAAAACGACCTACACTTGTCTATTTTCTATGTTGATTTGTATTATAATTAAGCAATTTATATTTGATTTTATAAATTTACCTTACAAATGTATTTATATTACAGCTAATAACGTGTTATGTTTGTTATGGCAGGTGATTACATCTCATGGCGGACGATCAGGACCGTATTTATGTCGAGGATGTAGAGGATGATGATGATGATTTCTCTGAGGATGAGGATGGTGATGAGCTGTATGATGTGAACAAGGAAGCCTGATTTGGGTGAGACAGAAGATCAGGCTCAGGATGAGTTCGAGCGTAGGTTGGATGAATTTGAAATTTCGGCTGAACTAGCGCCTCCTATTGAAAATGCAGTTGCTGAGACGGTTGGTGAGAACGCTACTTCCCACAATCTAAGCCAAGGAAAAGTGGAGGAGGTGTGAGGGCACCGGCTAAGAAAAAGGTGAGGGGTCCGACGACAAGTTTCAAGAAACTCGTCGGTCCAATGGTCCTGGAGTACGATAAGGCGGGCCAACCTGTAGGAAAATTCCGTCGTCCATATGCTATTCACGTTGGCCTTTGTGCGTGTAAAATCCCAATAACACTTCGTATGCGGGAAGTACCTCCAGGCTTGATTGACACCTTTTGGAATGATACAAGGGCAAGTGTTTTATTTGCATATTTACACAATTATAAAAACCTTTACTTTAATGTTATGTAAAAGGGGAAACTTATAATCGACTTTGTTTGTGCTTGCAGAGTTTGTTTAATATTCCTAATGATCCCGCCAAGCGAAGGGTGTTTGAATCTTTGCTAGCCGAAAGATTCAGAGGCTTCAAGACCGTATTAGTCCGTGGTTGGATCACAAAGACTGTTGTGAACAAACCAAAGAAGAAGAAAGGCAATGATGCTGAAGTCATCTATGAAGAGCTACTCCCATGGCAAAAATGGCCAAACATATCGAAGGATGATTGGGAAGCTTTTTTTATTCAACAAAGTACAAAGGAAGCAATTGTAAGTTTAAGTAAATTTGATTACAATTGTATAATATATTAACTTTTTTGAAGTAATGATACTAACAATTCTAATTACGTAGGAACCGAGGGAGCAAAATTCCAAAAATGCAAAGATGAAGCAATACACCCAATGTATGGGGTGCAAGACATTTGGTGAATGTAGGGAAAGGTGGGTCAACGAAGGAGTATACCCCACTTCGCTACTAAAGTCCTCCGAAGGATCCTCTGCTTCCACGATCACTACGCTGGTGACTCGTGCCAGTGATTTCTTCTGTTCACTTCATGCGCGTGACAAGAAGACCGGAAAATGGGCCATCAAGGCTCCGGAAACCAAAGAAATGGCAGATAAGCTCGTAAGCAACTATGAACTTGTGAACTCTATGAATCTCTTGCATAAATATCATTTATGGATGCTATGAATCTTATTTAACCACAAACAAAAAACTATACTTATGATGCCTTTCTTTTTTCTTTTGCTACAGATTGAACACACTGAAGAACTGGTTGAAGGCAAGCTCGTCCCAAGTGTAGAAAAAGACCCTTTCACCTTGGCTTTAGGAAAGCCCTACCATCCAGGACGGGTAGTAGGTGCAGGTGGGTCATTGCTATGATGGGAAAAAGTGATGGGTCCAGAGTATACCAAATCAGGAAGTTCCCGAGCAAGTGTTAACTCACCTCATGACTTGGTTTCCACGATGGCATCAATTAAGGAACAAGTCCGCAACGAGCTCGTAGGTGAATTTAACGCTTGGGCGAAGAAAATGAACTTACCGAGCTTGCCTTTCCCCTCGAGTACACCTGTCGACTCATGTAGTCACCCAAAAGGAAAAGGGGAAGATGTTATACATGGAAACGATGATATACATGAGGTAGTTTCAAAACTATTAGTTTTGGCATATTGAGTTAGTGGTATCTAAGGTGGCATTAATTTATTTCTTGTTGCAAGGTGGTACGCCTACACATGCGGACTCCAGGGAGCTCGATAATCCAACACATCATCATTTTCTAGATTTATAGGTGATTTTGTTTTGTTCTATCTTAGTGAATATGGGCACATTATCAATTGTGTAGGAAACGACCCCTTATGATATGTTTGGTTCTAATAAATGATCTTTCAAATTGGTGTAGGAAGAGACCCGTTGTGCACTTCTACACCCGGACGAATCTGGAGCTTTGCTTGTGGTTGCATATGGTAGTGCACAACCGGCCGAACAAGGTATGGTCCATTTGCGACCGCTTAGGCCACAACACTACTCGGTTGGGATCAATTCTGTTATTACCGGGTTCGAGGACATCCTAATACCGGTGCCCGTAGAGGAGGATGAGTTTACTACACTTTGGGCGGCAAAAGGTACTTTTGTGCAGTGGCCATGTACTTGGGTAAGGTTGATGAACCAGGTAATTAAGATTTTGGGTTCGCTCTTTACTTTATGCCCGGTTGTCTTCAAAAGAGTTAGATGGATTTGTCTTTTCTAACTAATTGCGTGATTTATTGTATTAGATTTTGCAAAAAAGACAAACTTCAAAGAGGAGGGTGGAACAACCTATAAGCATTGATCAACCGGTGGCAAAAAAGAGGAGTGAACAAGGGTCGGACAGTGAAAAAGGGTCGAAGAAGAACTCTTCGAGAGGTTCAAAGCTACTCCACTTGTTGATGACACGGTCCTTCAAACGCTGTCTAAAGATTTAACTTTTCTACACAACCGTGTTAGTATGTTGCCTAGTGACACTCCCATTCAAGTGCCACTACCTAAGGAAATGTTCCACTTTGATGAGGATGCAGTGGCATGGCTTAACAAAGAAGATGTGAAGGAATTTCTAAGTGGTTCAATGCTTAACATTTCCCTCGTTCAAACATTCATGAGGTAATTTAATGCCGCTTATATCATGTTATTCAGATTAGTGGTGATTGTCATTTAATTTTCAATTAATATTTTGTTATCATCCATGCAGAGCTCTACAGGAGCACTTACTTGAGATTGATTCTCCGTGTCAAGTAGGGTAGTTATGCCCCGAGCAAATCTCCACTACTAGAATCTTAGGCAACTACCCTGACGTGTCGTACTATGTTGAACGGGGTATCAAGGAATCATTGCGTGCGGGTGACGAGTTCATATTCGCCCCATGTTTTGAGGAGTACGTTTGACCATTATGTCAAATTTATTTGTTTCCCCTAATTATATGTTGTACATGGCTAATTATTGATTTGTTTGTGTATTGTGAATTTATGTAGTGCACATTGGACCATGCTGGTGATTTGTGTTCCCAGTAACACCATCTTCCTTTTTGATTTCAGCTCGATTGCCTCATCTGAAAAAGCTCCTCGTGAAGTCTATACTGCGAAAGTAAATATAGCTATCTAGTGTTGATTATCCTTACTTAACTCATTTATTATATTAGTCATACTAATCAAGTTTGAACTTACTTTTCTATAGTGTTATGAAGAAGATAAATTGTCGAGCTCCTCAAGGTCCCACATGGAAATCACCAATGGTAATGCTACATGATTTTGTGATTTTCATAATAAACAATGCGTAAGATGTTGCTAATTTTTTATGCATGTTTGATTCATTTACTGTGTTCCTATGCTAGTGCGCACAACAAGATAACGGAGTTGATTGCGGACTATACGTGATGAGATTCATGTTGGACATACTGAGTCATTCTATAGATGCACAACAGCTTGATGAGGTATGCGTCTTAAAACCCTTGATAAGAGAAAACCCTTGAATTGTTCTTTTAATGTGATTTCAAACTCTAGCTTCCTCTAACTAGGTATTAATGACTTGTTAAGAGAAAGAGTGAGCTAATTTGATTAAAAATATAGAAAATAGGCATACAAGTAGTGATATAGGCCTTATTCGGACCAATTAGGTTCAAATTGCGTCCTAAAATAATTCAAATGCTCTTTTAATGTGATTTCAAGCCTTAGCTGCATCTAACTAGGTAATAATGACATGTTAAAAGAAATAATGAGTTGATTTGATAAGAAGTGTAGAAAATAGGCATACAAGTAGTGATATAGGCCTTATTCGGGCCATTTAGGTTGAAATTGCGTCCTAAAATCATTCAATTGCTCTTTTAATGTGATTTCAAGCCTTAGCTGCCTCTCGCTAGGTAATAATGACATGTTAAAAGAAAGAATGAGTTGATTTGATAAGAAGTGTAGAAAATAGGCATACAAGTAGTGATATAGGCCTTATTCGGGCCATTTAGGTTGAAATTGCGTCCAAAAATCATTCAATTGCTCTTTTAATGTGATTTCAAGCCTTAGCTGCCTCTAAATAGGTATTAATGACATGTTAAAAGGAAGAATGAGCTAATTTGATAAGAAGTGTAGAAAATAGGCATACAAGTAGTGATATAGGCCTTATTCGGGCCATTTAGGTTGAAATTGCCCCCTAAAATCAATCAATTGCTCTTTTAATGTGATTTCAAGCCTTATCTGTCTCTCACTAGGTAATAATGACATGTTAAAAGAAATAATGAGTTGATTTGATAAGAAGTGTAACAAATAGGCATACAAGTAGTGATATAGGCCTTATTCGGGCCATTTAGGTTGAAATTGCGTCCTAAAAATCATTCAATTGCTCTTTTAATGTGATTTCAAGCCTTATCTGCCTCTAACTAGGAATTAATGACATGTTAAGAGGAAGAATGAGCTAATTTGATAAGAAGTGTAGAAAATAGGCATACAAGTAGTGATATAGGTCTTATTCGGGCCATTTAGGTTGAAATTGCGTCCTAAAATCATTCAAATGCTCTTTTAATGTGATTTCAAGACATATCTGTCTCTCACTAGGTAATAATGACATGTTAAAAAAAAATAATGAGTTGATTTTTTAAGAAGTGTAGAAAATAGGCATACAAGTAGTGATATAGGCCTTATTCGGGCCATTTAGGTAGAAATTGCGTCCCAAAATTGTTCAATTGCTCTTTTAGTGTGATTTCAAGCCTTAGCAGCCTCTAACTAGGTATTAGTGACATGTTAAGATGAAGAATGAGCTGCATTGATAAGAAGTGTAGAAATTAGGAATACAAGTAGTGATATAGGCCTTATTCAGGCCATTTAGGTTGAAATTGCGTCCTAAAATTATTCAATTGCTCTTTTAATGTGATTTCTAGACTTAGATTCCTCTCACTAGGTAATAATGACATTTTAAAATAAATAATGAGTTTATTTGATAAGAGGTGTAGAGAATAGGCATACAAGTACTGATATAGGCCTTATTCGGGCCATTTAGCTTGACATTGCGTCCTAAAATCATTCAATTGCTCTTTTAATGTGTTTTAAAGCCTTAGCTGCCTCTAACTAGGTATTAATTACATGTTAAGGGGAAGAATGAGCTAATTTGATTAAAAATGTACAAAATAGGCATATAAGTAGTGATATAGGCCTTATTCGGGCCATTTAGGTTGAAATTCCGTCCTAAAATCATTCAGTTGCTCTTTTAATGTGATTTCAAGTCTTAGCTGCCTCTAATTAGGTAATAATGACATGTTAAAAGGAAGAATGATCTAATTTGATAAACAATGTAGAAAATAGGCATACAAGTAGTGAAATAGGCCTTATATGGGCCATTTAGGTTGAAATTGCGTCCTAAAATCATTCAAATGCTCTTTTAATGTGATTTCAAGCCATATCTGCCTCTCACTAGGTAATAATGACATGTTAAAAGAAAGAAAGAGTTGATTTTTTAAGAAGTGTAGAAAATAGGCATACAAGTAGTGATATAGGCCTTATTCGGGCCATTTAGGTTGAAATTGCGTCCTAAAATCATTCAATTGTTCTTTTAATGTGATTTCAAGCCTTAGCTGCCTCTAACTAGGTATTAATGATATGTTAAGAGGAAGAATCATCTAATTTGATAAGAAGTGTAGAAAATAGGAATACAAGTAGTGATATAGGCCTTATTCATGCCAATTAGGTTCAAATTGCGTCCTAAAATTATTCAATTGCTCTTTTAATGTGATTTCTAGCTTTAGCTGCCTCTCACTAGGTAATAATGACTAGTTAAAAGAAATAATGAGTTGATTTGATAAGAAGTGTAGAAAATCGGCATACATGTAGTGATATAGGCCTTATTTAGGTTGAAATTGTTTCTAAAATCATTCAATTGCTCTTTTAATGTGTTTTCAAGCCTTAGCTTCCTCTAACTAGGTATTAATTACATGTTAAGAGGAATAATGAGCTAATTTGATTAAAAATGTAGATAATAGGCATACAAGTAGTGATATAGGCCTTATTCGGGCCAATTAGGTTGAAATTGCGTCCTAAAACCATTCAATTGCTTTTTTAATATGTTTTCAAGCATTTTCTGCCTCTAACTAGGTATAAATTACATGTTAAGAGGAAGAATGAGCTAATTTGTTTAAAAATGTAGAAAATAGGCATACAAGTATTGACATAGGCCTTATTCGGGCCATTTAGGTTGAAATTGCATCCTAAAATCATTCAAATGCTCTTTTAATGTGATTTCAATCCATATCTGCCTCTCACTAGGTAATAAAGACATGTTAAAAGAAAGAATGAGTTGCTTTTTAAAGAAGTGTAGAAAATGGGCATACAAGTGGTGATATAGGCCTTATTCGGGTCATTTAGGTTGAAATTGCGTCCTAAAATCATTCAATTGCTCTTTTAATGTGATTTCAAGCCTTAGCTGCCTCTAACTAGGTATTAATGACATGTTAAAAGGAAAAATGAGCTAATTTGATAAGAAGTGTAGAAAATAGGCATACAAGTAGTGATATAGGCCTTATTCGGGCCATTTAGGTTGAAATTGCGTCCTAAAATCATTCAAATGCTCTTTTAATGTGATTTCAAGCCATATCTGCCTCTCACTAGGTAATAATGACATGTTAAAAGAAAGGATGAGTTGATTTTTTAAGAAGTGTAGAAAATAGGCATACAAGTAGTGATATAGGCCTTATTCGGGCCATATAGGTTGAAATTGCGTCCTAAAATCATTCAATTGCTCTTTTAATGTGATTTCAAGCCTTAGCTGCCTCTAACTAGGTATTAATGACATGTTAAGATGAATAATGAGCTAATTGATAAGAAGTGTAGAAAATAGGAATACAAGTAGTGATATAGGCCTTATTCAGGCCATTTAGGTTGAAATTGCGTCCTAAAATTATTCAATTACTCTTTTAATGTGATTTCTAGACTTATCTGCCTCTCACTAGGTAATAATGACATGTTAAAAGAAAGAACGAGCTAATTTGATAAGATGTGTAGAAAATAGGCATACAAGTAGTGATATAGGCCTTATTCGGGCCATTTAGGTTGAAATGGCGTCCTAAAATCATTCAATTGCTCTTTTAATGTGATTTCAAGCCTTAGCTGCCTCTCGCTAGGTAATAATGACATGTTAAAAGAAAGAATGATTTGATTTGATAAGAAGTGTAGAAAATAGGCATATGAGTAGTGATATAGGCCTTATTCGGGCCATTTTGGTTGAAATTGCGTCCTAAAATCATTCAAATGCTCTTTTAATGTGATTTCAATTCTTAGCTGCCTCTAATTAGGTAATAATTACATGTTAGAAGAAAGAATGAGCTAATTTGATAAACAATGTAGAAAATAGGCATACAAGTAGTGATATAGGCCTTATTCGGGCCATTTAGGTTTAAATTGCGTCCTAAAATCATTCAATTGCTCTTTTAATGTGATTTTAAGCCTTAGCTGCCTCTCACTAGGTAATAATGACATGTTAAAAGAAAGAATGAGTTGATTTGATAAGAAGTGTAGAAAATAGGCAAAGTGGTAGTCATATTAGTCTTATTTAGGCCATTTTGATTCAAATTGTGTCTAAAAACTCTTGAATTGCTCTTTTAATGTGGTTTCAAGCCTTAGCTGACTATAATAAGTAATATTGACATGTTTCAAGAAAGAATGAGTTGTTTTTCTAAGAAATGTAGAAAATAGGTGAAGTAGTAGTCATATAGGCCTATGTATTAATATTTTCCTAACTTAAATTGTAAATGTATTTTTACATACATAACCTAAGTAATCAATTCTAGCTAATATCATTTTTGTTTAGCCAAGTTTTGCAAGGTACAGAAAGGAGGTCCATTGACGAGCAAAGAGCTGAATGAATTTCGAGACATGTTAGCGTCTTTCATCACATATAATTTAATTTGAACTTGTTAACTAATACATTAATTATTAGTATTGTTTGTAAATATAACACCTTTTAATTAATGAGTTGTAAAAGCTATATGACACTTCATTGTATCGCATTTAGGATTATTAATTAATATTTATGTATTGTTGTTATTATTTCAATGTAAAAATTATTATATTATCAGTATTTTTAATAATATAATAATAATAATAATAATAATAATAATAATGGTAATAATAATAATAATAATAATAATAATAATAATAATATATATTGATGGCAGAATTAATACAGGATGTGCAGGTTTTTAATTATTATTAGGAAATTTTGAAAATAACCACCCAAAAAAGAGTCACTTTTAAATTTAACCACCCAAAAAAAAATAAAAAGTAACCACCCATTAAATTAAATTTTCACACAGATGACCACCCATTTTGAAAATTTGGTGGACATTTAAGACATTGGGCCCACCATAACTTATTTCCCTCCTTTTTTTTCGTTCTATTTCGACTTCCCTCACAGTTGAACTTCCAGAAGTTATTGTCAGTTGCTTCTTGGTTGAATTTCTCAGAAAAATCTCAAAAAAATTTGTTTAATCTATTTTGCGCTCTCTGTGTATTCATAATTTATCAAAAATTGGGGAATTTAAAACCCTAATTAGTGGTGGAAACCCTAAATTTTTCTCTGAAACAAAGGACTTGCTCGTGGGTGATTGCGCGCCATCTGTTTGGGTGTTTGCTGGAGACCAGTAGTGTGGGGCAGGAACCTGACAATTGCAGTGTACAATGGCGACATCAGAGGTAATGTATTCTGTTCCTTGTCTTTAATTGTGAAAGCTGTTGATTGTTGATGGTATAATTGCAAATATGTGCAAAGTTAGGGTTCATTATGTAGTTCATTGAATTAATTAAAGTAGGTCAATTATTGTTGAATACTTTATGTATGTTGGTAGGACAGTGATATAGGGATATGTTTTTTTACAATATGCCCAATACATTGCTTTTTTTTAATGCTGGTTTGTTTAGTGGTAGTTGAATTGTTTAATGATGTTTTGAGGACAATTAGTTTTGGGATTAGTTTGTTGCTGCTATTTTGAACACATTGCATTATGTATGTTTACTTCTGATATGGGGATTAGTGAGGCATTTGGTGTTGTGTACATGTATTGATAATGGCTTATGATATGCACAAATTGCTGTTGAAAATGAATTTGTGGATGTTAAGGTTAGATTAGGGGTGGGTTTGTGAATAAAAAAATAAAGGGAAAGACTTTGTGTGGGTATGATGGTGGCTCTGAATATTGGAGGTACAAGTGCAGACTGAGTGAGATGTCAGTCAACTTGTTAGGGAATCTTGCATTTGGGGCTTTGTAAAGTTAGATTTGCATGTGCCTAGCATGTGGAACATTTGGTATAAAAAAAAAAGGGGAAGAGTTGGTCAACTAGTAAACAAGAAATAGTTACTAATGATGATGTGAGGGGGTTTTTGGAGACAAAGACCAAGGATGGGTTTGTTGTAGTATATTGTACTACCCAAGACAGTCAAAGAAAAGCAGTGAAGCCCAGTAAACTTAGGAGAAGCCCAAGGTTTAAGCAGCAATTGGGAAATAAAGAGAATGATGGGAAACAAAACCAAAAAAAAAGGGGCTAGGGTTGGAAAGCAAAGTGAAAAAACAACAAGAAAGCAATTGTTTTCAGAGAGTGTGAAAGGGAAGAAGAAGCAAGGTGAAGAAGAAGGCACATCTGGGGGAAGTAGGGTGAAGGGAAAGGGAAAGGTACTGGGAAAGGGTAAAACACAGGGGAAAAGGAAAGGGAAAAAAAAAAAAGAGAGGTTGACAGTGAGTTGTTTGATTCAGAAACTGGATCTGGTTCTTCAAGCTCTGACTGCCCTGATACTGACATAGAGTGGGTAGTAGGGGAAGATGAGGAGACTGATATTGGAGATGGTCTTAACAGCACAATTAACAACATCATTGATGAGGTGAATGCAAGTCTCCAAACTGAGCAACAAAGGGTTGAATATGAAGTGCAGAACAATGATGATCTGCTTGAAAGTGAACTGTTGAGCAAAGAAGTTGTTGTGCAGGGAGAGTTCACTTCTGACAGTGAGGAGTTGGATAGCCCGAAAGGGTCTGATGATGAGCAGGATGATTGTCCACGGTTTCATGCATCAACAAACTTCAAGAAGGCCATTCAATTTGTGAAAGGACAGAAGTTTCTTAATAACAAAGTGCTCAGGAAAGCTTTGAAGCAGCATGCCATTGAGAACGGGTATGAATACTGGTATTTGCACAATGACAACAGCAAAATAACAACACAATGTAGAAGAAAATGTAAATGCAAATGGAATAAAAAAAGAACTAGGCTGCCTATGTGCACATGTGTTGGGGGGAGTAAATGCCATTTTAAGGTTGTGGCTAGGAGGTCTGTGAACCAGGATTTTTGGCAGATTAAGAGTCTACATTTGAAGCACAAGTGTGTAAGGGTTAGAAGCAATCTGAATTTGTCTGCTGAATTTTTAGCTGAGAGGTACATTAAGGAGTGGAGAAGTGACCCTGGGTGGAAGCTTAAAAGTTTCAGGAGGAGAGTGTTAGGTGATTTAGGTATTGAAATTAAATATTGTAAAGCTTGGATGGCAAGAGCAAGAGCTAAGCTTATGATATATGGTTCTGCAGCAGAACAGTATGCAAGAGTGTGGGACTATGGGAAGGCTCTCATGCATTACAGCCCTGGTACTGAGTGCAATGTGGTAGTTGATGGATTGGAGCAGATTGAACCACCTCTGTTCTTGAGAATGTTCATACGCCTTGCACCCCTTAGGAAAGGATGCTTGTCTAGTTGCAGACCACTTATTGGGGTTGATGGCTGCCATCTGAAAGGTCCCTATCCTAGTCAAATTTTGGTTGCAGTTGGTAAGGATGGCAATAACAATATTTACCCCATTGCTTGGGCAACAGCTGAAATTAAAAATACAGAAACTTGGGTGTGGTTTCTTGAGAGCTTGATGAAAGCACTGAGAGATGAAGATCAAGGCCTGGGCTATACCTTTATATCTAATAGGCAAAAGGTAAACATAAATACAAATCTAATATGAATGCTTTGTTTATTTTTCATGGCAATTGCCTTATTTGATGTATGCTGTGTGAACAGGGACTGGTAGAAGCTTTGCACCAAGTGGTTCCTTATGCAGACACTAGGTTTTGTGTCAGACATATTTGGGCAAACTTCAAGTTGCAATTTAGTGGCTCAACTTTCAAGGAACTCTTCTGGTCTGAAGCAAGGGCTACAGTATAACACTGGTATGCATAAATACCAAGATATAATTGTATTTCATATTTGTTTGTGACTGGTTGGCATTCTGATTTTTGTGTGTAAATGTGTGTATGGTTTGTCTTGCATTTGTAGTTTGACTTTGAGGTTGTAATGGAGTCAATTAGGTTCTTGTCTAAAGAAGCATTTGAATACCTTTCTGACATTCCAGCCAAACATTGGTCTAGACATGCCTTTAGCACACATCCTAAGTCAAACATGTTGCTCAACAACATTTGTGAAACTTTCAATGCTGTAATGAAAGAAGCTAAGGACAAGCCTATTTTGACTCAAATGGAGTGGCTTAGGAGGTATGTCATGAAAAGAAACAATGACAAATGGGATGCTTATCAGAAAATGGAACGGAAGGTTGTTCCTTATGTGAAGAAGCTTTTTCAGAAGATAGAACCAGCTGCAAGGCATTGCATTGTGCAACTGTCTAGGGGTGACAGTTATGAGGTAGAACACAATTTTGATCTAGTCACAGTGGACTTGATTTAGGCAACATGCACCTGCTTTCATTGGGATCTAACTGGTATCCCTTGTGTCCATGCATATACATGCATCATGGACAAAAGGGCTGATCTAGAAGATTATGTTGATAGTGCTTATCTTGTGTCAACATATATGTTGGCATATAGGCTGGAGATTGCAGCAATGCCTGGTCCACACCATTGGCAAAAGGTGAAGCTTAGGCAACCTCTACCACCAGCCATCAAAATACAGCCAGGTAGGCCTAAATCAAAGAAGAGGAAGTTGGAAAAGGGAGAAATTGGGGGGCAAAAGCAAGAGGGGCAGCAACCACTCAAAAAGAAGGCCACTTTTAAGAATTGTGGCCAGCTAGGCCACTATGCTAAGACCTGCAAAAACCCTCATGTGACACCAGTTGCAGTGTCCTCCCCAAAGAAAGAAGGTGGCAGACCCCATTTGGACACTGATTGGGTCAAAGATCAGAGAAAGAGGAGAGCAGAAAGAGCTTTGAAAAAGGTAATAAGTAAGATTTTAGGGTTTTGTATTTTTGGTTTTTGCAGTCTAGCTTTAATTGCTAACTCTGTAATGTGGTTTACAGAGTGCAGTTGGTGGTACACCTGGTCTTAATAGCATAGGGAGCAAGAAGTTCCCTTAAGAAGAGCAGCAGAGGAAGCAACAACAGCAACATGACAGTCAGCAGAGCCAAGCTGCATCCACAACAGCTGCCACAAGCTATGCACCTCCTCCAACATCATCCACATCTGCTGCAGACAACCTCCCAAGTCAAATGCCACCAAGAAGCAAGCTAAAAGTCATTATACCTAAGAAGTAGTATAATGTACTTAGACTTAGGAAGTACATGAATCACCTCCCATTTTGTATGTTAGAAGGGGGAGATAGTTAGTTGGATGTTTTTGAACTTGTTAATGAATATGTGATATGCTTTTGGATGCTACAATGCTTATGGCTGTAATGTGTTGGGTTGAACACAAATTTTTTTGTCAGACATGTTCATTGATAGTAATAACATGTTCATTGACAGTAATCACTTTGCACATAACAGTAATAACTTCTTCATTTCATTCCATATCAAAACATATTCATTCAAAGCTTGTTCATTACATTCCATAATATAACATATGAATAGCATTACAATCATCCCAGCTTGCACCTCCCCATTAAACCAGTTTATTCAATATAACATAGCCTAAAACTGAAAAAAACAGAAAACATAACAACTACAACAAGTTTGAGGTTGCTGTCAGGATTGGCATTGTTGCTGATCATCTTCTTCTTGTCACACTTAGGGCCTTGCATTTCAGTTTCAAAGTGTCCACCTCATTCAACAAACATCTTCTCTGCCAGTCAAGTCATCAACCTCTCTCTTCAGTGAGTTCACTTCAGCCTTGATCAGCCTTTTGTCAAGAAGAAGTTGGTTGATCACCTCTTTCTGCCAATCTGTTCCATCTTCAATGTCAACCCATTCAAAACACTTGCACCCCCTTGTCTTAGTAACAAGGTCATAGAATTTGCATGCCCTGAATTTCCTCCCTGGGTTCTCCGAGTCCAAGATGTCAGCTTTGCAAAAGGCAGTCCACAATTGCATTTCTTCTGGTTTGGGGGAGATGAGCTATTCCAAGACATTTTACAACCTGCAAATACCAAAATAAGTGTCATTTACCAAACACTTTCATTACACAATGTGTTTTAGAGTTTATACTCAACCACACATACTCATTGTAGGAGTTGACCTCCATAATGAGGATAACCAGGGGGTGGCCATGTCCCATTTTGCTTCATCTTGTGCTCTAATATACAATCATCCAAGAAACCAGGGTCATCTGTGCTCCCAACATGTATGGTATACATGTCCTTATTAGGTAACCTCCTAATCATCTTGAACACATCACCATCATCTTCTAAAGTCCAATACTTCCCTTTATATATATATTGAAATGTGGGATGCAGGAGGTCAATTGATCCTTCTACTGGATCTTCCATTTCACGAATTTGATCCTCAATTACTATTGCTGTGTCCAACAAATTATGTTTGCCTACTTCATATTCAATGTCTATAGCAACACTCAAGTACTTAAACCTGAATAACACCTTATTCTCCTCCATTACTGCATCAAGATTTCGACCAACAACAAATCAATGACAATCATGCATCCAACAAAACCCCAATTACCTAATCACCCTAATTTCCCCCAATTGTACAAACAAGGTTAATTATACAATTGAAACCAAATAATTCGTGCTAAAAAACAAACCCTAACTAACAATTCCGCCAATTTTCCCCAAATTAATTGCAATAAGAACCCTAATTTTAAAAATTCAGAAACCATACCTGCTGCGATTACAACTGCTGTATGTATGGGGGATTCGTCTGCAACTAGGGCATTTGATTTCGCTTAAATTTTGAAGAAATTGAAGCAGATTTGTGGGTTTAATTTTGGGGAAGTGTTTACTCTGAAAAAATCGTGGACAATTTCAATTACAAAAGGGAAAAGTAGCCGTTATTAGCCGTTGGGTGGGCCCAATGTCTTAAATTTCCACTAGATTTTCAAAATGGGTGGTCATCTGTGTGAAAATTTAATTTAATGGGTGGTTATTTTGAAATTTTATTTTTTTGGGTGATAAATTTAAAAATGACTCTTTTTTGGGTGGTTATTTTCAAAATTTCCTTATTATTATTTATTAAAAATTTTTATAAAAAAAAAAATAGAGGTTTTTGGCACCGGTTTTTACAAAGAACCGGTGGCCAAAAAAAATTTTAATTATGGCGCGTGAACTTTTGCCACCGGTTCAATGTGAAAACCGGTGCTAAATCCCTTGTTATTGCCACCGGTTCACTTGAAAACCGGTGCGAAAAGTTGTTTTGGACACCGGTTTCGAACCGGTGCGAAAACTTTGAGGATTTAGCACCCCCCAAATCAAGACCGGTTCAAAACCGGTGGGGAATGTGTGGTTTGAACCGGTGGGGATTGGGGTTTTTCGCCTAGTGTCACTCTTTGTTTCGGTGTTCGCTGTCTGGTATTTTACCGGTGGTGAACGTTTCTAAGGTCGGTTTTTCTCGTTTCCTCTTTTCCGTGATACCCGATGAGTTATCCGACGAGGGTTTGTCGGATTTTATGGTAATCCGGCGGGGTTGATTCATGGTTTTATTGGTGTTTAACTGTGAGAACAGTTGCAATAAATCCTCCATTTTTGGGATAATGAGTTGTTTTGTCGGTTTTCTGGTAGATGATGAAGCCAAACAAGTTTCCAGTCGCCGAAAAAACGAACCTAGCTCTGATACCAAGTTAAAAAGAAAAGACAGAATTTTTGGGGGTTTTTAATTGTCTGTATTGTGATACAATCAACTGATTTACAGGTAAATTAATACACTAACACTTGCCATATTAGCTCCTAAAATCATTCCTGGAAATATGGACTGATTTGATACAATAATCTAAACATAGCAAGTGAATAAACATAATTACAGACAAGATTTTCTACACAATATTCTAACATTTTGTTTATATCAAGGTGCTGAGGGATATGGTCCAGCCTGCGCATATCATGGCAACTACTGAAAGAAAGTCCAATGGGACCATACCGAGAGCTCTAATTCTTAGTTCTTGTTGTAATAACCTTTGTCAAAAAAAAAAAAAAAAAAAAAAAAAAAAAAACAGAAACATGGAATAAAATTGAAGGGAATGGTTCCATAAAAAACAAAACTTTCAAGTTGCTTAATTTGTAGAGTGACAAACAGATTCTTCTCCGGGACAACAGCCACCATCAGCACAACAGCCACCTCCATGTTGCGGAGACAACATCAGAGAGAGAAGCCACATCTTTGAAAGCTTGGTGAAAGGCACCGGCATTTCAGGTTTTCGTTTCTTTAGATTTCTTGATTGGTTTGGTCTGCATTCTTCTTGATTCCTCACAAACAAAGCAATGAAAAAAGACTTCTTTGTCCTTAACAGGAGCCATCCGAAGCACGTGTTCAGCTGCCATACAAGATAAAGGCATTAATCAAACATAAGCCTTGAGGCAATTTATCAAGTTACTTAATGACAAGATCCAATGGGGAAGTGCTTCACAGTAAAACCTCACATATAGACAGATATGTATCATCATGAGGCAAAAATGAATGGGTATTAGAAGCAAATATTACTACTAGCACATGAACTATTCCTACTCCTATACAAAACATCGCCACATAATGATATAGATGGTTCCGCAGCATATGATAGGACATGCTACGGTGCTACCCTTCTAGCAGTGAGCTACTCCAGCACTGCCATAGTTCTGAGCAGAAAATGAACCAAGTGAAGATTACTAATTGTTTATATATGAAAAGGTACCTCCAATATTCCCTAACGAGATATATGAAAAAGTATCTCCAATATTCTTTAACAGGATATCCATCTTCATTTTCTAAGTTAAAGTTGATAAATTAAGACCATAATTATACACTGACATGTAAACATAATCATTTGGATCTTGTTATATGCATTTCAATGTGTATTTTCAAAAAATCTACATTTCGCACTTCTACCATCTCCAAATAAGCCACAAGTGACTAGATGTCACTTTACAAAATTATGGGTACTGAAGTCTGAAGGCAAATAAATGGGTAATTCTCTGTTTCTCATTGTGAGAAACAAGTTTTGTTTCTCATGGGGTATGTGTCAAGATTTAGGGCTCCCACTCATGACACATACGCGGTCCCCACCAATGAAAAACATCATATTATTTTCCAAAATGCCATTATGAGAAACACAACTGGGGCTCCCTCCAAATAAATGGGTCTTAGAGATTGGGGGGGTCAACTTTTTGAGGGTAGAGGCAGTAGCTGTTAATCCAGACTGCGTCAGGGATTAGAAGTATCGAATATCAAACGATAAAATCTTGGTGCTTATATCTCCCTCCCAACCATTTTATTTGTGCACAAGGAAAAGGAAGTATTTTTTTTATTTGGCCCCAAAAGGCACATAATGCATAACAAATTAACAATACATGTGTGTTGAATTGACTACCTT